CTCTCTATCGTTAGACAAACAGTTGTACTGGGTGGACGCTCACTCAGACCAAGTGAGCGTGATTGACCTCACCACCGGAGCAATCCGCGTGCTGGTGGAGCAGCAGGGAGCGCACTTCTTCTCCGTCGACGTCATTGGCGCCTATCTCTACATCACAGACTGGAAGAAAAAGTACGTTTTTCCGTTCGCATTGTTTATACTAGAAGATAAAACAGCACCTGGACATGGATGGCTGGTGGCTTTATAAATAAATTATTGATAGTCAAGGACTACAAGAAAAAGTACGTTTTTTCCCTCGTTTTGTTTACACCAGATAAAAAAAAGTACGTGTTCCCCTTGTATTGTTTACGCTAGATAGAAGAAAAAAGTACGTTTCTCCCCTTGTATTGTTTACACTAGAAAAAAAAGTACGTCTTTCCCTTCGCATTGTTTACGCTAGATAGAAGAAAAAAGTACGTTTTTCCCTTCGCATTGTTTACACTAGAAGAAAAAGTACGTTTTTCCCCTCGTATTGTTTATGCTAGAAGAAAAAGTAAGTTTTCCTCGTTTTGTTTACTGAAAGAGAAAGTACGTTTTTCACTCGTTTTGTTTATACTCTTAGAAAAAGTCCGTTTTTCGCTCGTTTTATTTATATAGGAAGAAAAAAATGGCATTGGAAAAAGCTTGAAATGTTGTGAAACTAATACATTTTAACGTCAAATTTTCCAAAACTAGATCTAGGTACTGAGCACACAGAATTTTATGTTTCAAGAGTAGCTGTAAATTGCCAAATCAATAGCTGAGCTAGAATTAAAACAAAAACAAACAAAATACAACTGACGAATGTGAACCCGCTATAAATGTATGCGCTCTGTCCTCAGCTATCTCCAGCGTATGAATAAACATGGAGGTGCACTCAAGCAGTTCGGAGAAGCCAAGTTCACAAGACTGTATGGAATCAAAGGATTTAACTCCACCGAGGCATTTAAGGGTAATTCATTTGTGAGACATTGTGGTGAAATCAGATGCACGTCTAAATACCGAAATTTAAAAAAAACCTCAGCATTTATATAATCACTATTTCAACACCTATGTAAAAGTTAGATAGCGCTGGGCAGTAGGACAATGTATTTATAATGATGATGATGATGATAATGATGATTATGTTGATAATGATGATAATGATGATAATGATGATGATGATTTTTTTTTCTCTTCCCTTCGCCCTTCTCCTCCTTTCGGTTCCTCTTCTTTACTACTACTACTACAACTACTACTACAACAACAACAACTACTACTACTACTACTACTACTAC